ACTAACCACTGAGTGTTTGCTCTCGCTCTCCTCTCTGACACGCTGTCACAGGAGCCTGAGTGAGCCGTGCACAAAGGAGAGGCCAGCCTCCTGTCACAGCGTGGGCTGTCTCCGCCCCCACACCGCTCTGCCGGACTGTGATAGGCGATGTGTAAACTGCACTGGGTGTTTGCTATTTCAATATCCCACATAAGCGTTAATAGGGGGCAGAGAGGCTTTAAAAACATTTCTCTAATGCCTGATTTTAACACGCGTGTAAAAGACGCCTAAGAGGTCTTTATTGAAAATTGCCGTTGATTGGACATTTTGTTTTAAGACTTGTTAGACTTTTAAGCCTTTTATTAGCAAAGTTCTCCATTATACCCCTATTTCTGTAATATATCATTTACGTCAAGTCCTTGTTAATGTTTTGCATTAATGTCACTTCTTGGTGAAAGGTAATTATTAACAGCAAGTCTAAGTTTTCTTAGACTTTCTCAGCTACCATGTCTATTCATACCCATGACCTCATGGAGCGACTGTACAGCCTAGCTCTGCTTGTTCTTCTTACCCCTCTTGATGGCTTCTGGACTCCCTCTAGTGGTCAATACTGTTATCTGCATTATTACACCTGGTAGTCTTGACTTCAAGGGCTGCACTCAAATTATCATAATGGTTTCTGTATATAGCACCACATTCTACAGAGCTTTACAGTCTGTGGAATTCTCACAGGGGCTTTACAATTTAAAATAGGTTAGACAGTAACACTCATTTATTTTATACAGAACTCTAGTAATTGAAGAAAATGCTGTGTAAGGACAAACATATGTGTTTGATGGCAGTACGGTGGCTGAGGATAAGGAATGGTAATGAGAAGCAGGAACATTTGGTCCAGTATGGGTGAATCTGAAAGAAATGTATACGTAGCTTGCCTCTCTTTCCACCAGGCAGTACCATTCCCCTCCACCCTCCAATTCTAATGTATACCTTTTGCATGCTGTCACTATGCCGCTCTGTATTTAGATACATTAGATATAATATAACCTGATGGTAGTACTAATCATAACTGTTGTCTAGCATTGGAGTTTGTGCACCTAAAACATATCATCATTTTAGTGATTTAAGTTCCTATTTACAAGGCAATCCCACTTACCTTGTTTGGTTCTTGACCCATTTTATGTTGGGCACACTGCAACAACAAATTGAGTGGGGGACTTCTTGGCACCATAGTAGTCTTGTGTTGCAGTGGAGCACGGAGGTAGGTCAGAACAGAGCTGATGAGAGTTGATTGATTGAAAGGAATAGGTGGACATAAGTACGTGGATTTGTACAGGTGGTGTTAAAGGTTCCTGAATACAACCATTAGGCCCGTTATGATCTCCAGACAGTGATGACAAGCTCCTATGGCTGGTGGAAATGTTTGTTGCATTTATAAATCCTCCAATGTAGTGGAGTGTCAAACCACAACTGTTGTATTTTATGTTGGTCCTGGCAATCCTGTGATAGTTACATAGTTACATAGTATTTGGGGTTGAATAAAGACATACGTCCATCAAGTCCAACCCATATAGGTCCACACATCATTTCATTCTTAGGGTATCCCTGGATATTACGGTCCCTCAAGAAATTGTCCAAACGTTTCTTGAAGAAACCTACACTCTTGGCTGAAATCACTGCCGGTGGCAGTGAGTTCCAGACCTTAACCGCTCTTACTGTAAAGAACCCTCTTCGCCCATTGTGCTGGAATTTTTTCTCCACCAACTTTAGGTGGTGGCCTGTAGTCTTTGTAGATGCATTGCAGGATGGGCTCTTGTTGTCCTCAACTTTCATGACATCCCCAAAGGGGTTGTCTTCTTGCGTGGGATGGGCAATGGTACAATGTCTGTTGTACAGTACATGGCAGAGTTTGAGAAAAACTCAGGGTAGGTTCTCTCTATCTTTGCCGTGATATGTGAGACGCACTAGTGATTTGCATTTTATTTTTATTTTTTAACTTTAATAGTTTTTCTTATTTTAAGGATTTGCATTTTCAAATATCGCTACACACTCTTAATTCCAAAAAGGAGTGAACCAGCAAGTTGGCAATTGCAGACTTGCTGTCCTATGAGAACTGTGCTAATATCATTCATGGTCTTCATGGTCTTGCCAGTTTAAATCCCCTCTGTCATGTGATGAGTCATTTGCAGGCCCAGAGCTCTCTGGAGTTGTATCAGTGAGGGCCTCCATGGTATTCCTTCAGGTGGGCATGTTCCCTGCCTAATAATAAAGTTCTGTATGCCTTCTTTAATAGAAAAGCAGGAAAACATTTCATAAACAACACCACCCTCAATACGTTAATGCTTTTGTTGTCCTTCTCTTCTCCTCCATTATTAGAACATTCTTTCTGTAGTTCCTTCAAGGTGCTTCACTGAAGGCCTATGCTGAGTAAGCTTGACAATGATATCAAATCAAACCCAATAGTTTTTTTTTCTCTCTCTAATCCTTAAGCATTGAGGTCGTATGATTTCCATCAAGTTGTAATTTTACCTACTGTTTAAAAACCTGGCACCTTACAGGAGGCTTTATCAACCAGGTTTGCTTTGTCAGGGGTGCCGTCAAATTTTTCTGATTTCCATAGTGATGGTGGGCCGTGGACTCTGATGTGAAGGGGACTCTTCTTGTGGAGGGTGAAAGCCCACTTTTTTTTTTTTTGCACGTGCCCTCCCCACCCCCCCTTAAGATCCATGTCAGACCCCTGTCTAGGATAAGAGTCTGGCATGGTTTGGGGGGAGGACCACATGTCCTTTTTTAAATGTAAATTTAATTTTTTTAACATTTTCAACCTCGTCTACTAGGCCTGTACCACAATTGTGATTTCCACCAGGCAGGTCTCACACAGTTGGATAGCGATCTGCCTGTCTGTAGCATGCAAAGATAGTTCATAAACTTCTCCCTATAAGTAAAGACTTTGGTGGATACAGCTGACAAGCACATAACTCTAGATTTGGACTGTGTGGACTGCAAGGTGTAATATAAGCTGTCACCTCTGTTCTCTCATTGTCAAGCGCTCTGTTACCACGACAACTGGTGTCGGCATGGCGATCTCCGATGACAGCTGTCATATATCCTGCTATTTAGGGCTCCCTATGTATGTGTGTGTCTCTTCATATCTGTGATTTGTACCATGCCGATTCCGCAGCTCCTCTCTATTCACTATGGCATCTGCCGTTATCTGTACCACTCGGTGGCAAAAAGCAGTCGTCAACACGGAATAAATGACATTACATGACAATTTAAATTGCAGTTGTGTCACAAAACCTCACTTACAGGGGCACAAATGTGAACTTATATTTAAGTTAAAAAAAATAAAATCTCTTCTCCTTACAGCACACATCCTCTCATGCCAAAACTGACAATATTAACGTGAAGGAAGACATTTTTTTGGCCAAAATATCTGTTAGCATGCATTGGGAAATCTAGTAGTTTTTGTTTATGGCCAGCTAAGAATAGCCCTCCCTGTAGCCCCTGGACTGATCAAGAGAAATCTTTGCATTACTAGGCCTCCCCCCGTAAACCCTGAGACTAGGCCTCCCCCCGTAAACCCTGAGACTAGGCCTCCCCCCGTAAACCCTGAGACTAGGCCTCCCCCCGTAAACCCTGAGACTAGGCCTCCCCCCGTAAACCCTGAGACTAGGCCTCCCCCCGTAAACCCTGAGACTAGGCCTCCCCCCGTAAACCCTGAGACTAGGCCTCCCCCCGTAAACCCTGAGACTAGGCCTCCCCCCGTAAACCCTGAGACTAGGCCTCCCCCCGTAAACCCTGAGACTAGGCCTCCCCCCGTAAACCCTGAGACTAGGCCTCCCCCCGTAAACCCTGAGACTAGGCCTCCCCCCGTAAACCCTGAGACTAGGCCTCCCCCCGTAAACCCTGAGACTAGGCCTCCCCCCGTAAACCCTGAGACTAGGCCTCCCCCCGTAAACCCTGAGACTAGGCCTCCCCCCGTAAACCCTGAGACTAGGCCTCCCCCCGTAAACCCTGAGACTAGGCCTCCCCCCGTAAACCCTGAGACTAGGCCTCCCCCCGTAAACCCTGAGACTAGGCCTCCCCCCGTAAACCCTGAGACTAGGCCTCCCCCCGTAAACCCTGAGACTAGGCCTCCCCCCGTAAACCCTGAGACTAGGCCTCCCCCCGTAAACCCTGAGACTAGGCCTCCCCCCGTAAACCCTGAGACTAGGCCTCCCCCCGTAAACCCTGAGACTAGGCCTCCCCCCGTAAACCCTGAGAACCCGAGACTAGGCTTTGGTGTTCGTGTATACATATTTTTTCCCTTCGGTTTATTACAGTTTAATACCAGAACTACAGTCACACACATGTTCGTATTCAAGCAAGGGCTGACTGAGACACATGCTTGCATATCCTTTCTATTGTCAGTGGGAAGGATATGTCCCTTTCTGCTTCTTTAAGTTCACCTGTAATGGTGAGAAATATATGGAGGCTACCAATGCTGGCCTTCTTTTCTAACATGCTAGCTGCCAGGATGCAGTACTTCTGTTTCACTGACCCAGAACAAGTATGCAAAGGGTTGTATTCTAAAAACATGCAGTGTCTTATAGCTGTACTGGTTCCCAGGTTAGTGGCTCAGAAAGTATTGAATGCAAAGCATTAGCATGATAGCCAAGCAATTAGAACTTTTAGAAGAGTTCAGCAGTGGCAGCCTACATATTTCTATCATGACAGGTTTCCTTTAAAGTTACTTACTAGCTTCTAGATTGGATTGACTGAATTCTGTATTAATTTGCCCACACCAGTTTAGATCAAGTTTCAAGAGGGTGAATTACAGTATGCCCACCAGCTGCCTTTCTGTACAATGTTCTGATGGGACGGAACACAACAGCAAGCCCAGAGCTGCAGAGGAGAGAGACTCTGGTAAACAATGTATATTATTTAAAGTATTTCACTACTAATCCGGGGCTTATAATTTAGCACTGAAATTTTAAAGCAGGTTTTGGATTTTGTCTGATGTCTCTAATGTCCCATTTCAGATGAGACAGGGAGCGTTCCTGGTAAACACAGCCCGGGGCGGTTTGGTGGACGAGAAGGCACTCGCACAAGCATTGAAGGAAGGGAGGATACGAGGAGCAGCATTAGATGTACATGAGTCGGAACCTTTCAGGTATTGTGCAGTTTTAAGTTATGCATGGAGTCATCTCCTACACATACATTGTGCCTGAAGTTTGTTTGAGCATTCCATCTATGCATCAGTATAAACAGAGAGCACAGTTGACCCAACTGGGATTCAGGTTCCGAGTGGGACTCAGTTTTAATGTATTAATACTTGAGGGAATGACTGAGGTCATGGACGGTTTATGGCAACCAATCTGATCTCTCATTTGACTCGCCTAAAATGAGCCTGGTTCATACTCGTCTCCTTTTCATATGTTGCAAGGTGTGAGTGCTTTCTGCTCTTGTTGCCAACCTCAGGGGCAAATGGGGCTAGCCTTCATGAGGCTCGGCAAAGCTTGGTGTCTAAGGTTCTCTGTCTACATTTCCCACCACTCACTAGGCATCGCTGGCTTTCTCCTCTTTGGTTGGTGTCTCCCTCTCCGACCTCCTGTTGCTCTGCCAATTAGTGCTGGCATTGCTCTGCGTATACTGCAGCTTGGAGAGATTTCTTTTACTTTGTGGCGTGGCTTGGACCCTGAAACCTACTGAAAAGCAATGGCCTTGTGAGGCTGGGCTGCACTGCAAAGCAGAGCAACCCCTGAGGGTCAAACTGCTCATCAGAGGGGTTAAAACTGCAGACTGAAGCAGAGAAGAGACCCCTTTCTAAACCTCAGAAGAAGTCATGTGGTGAGGGCTCTTCTGAAGCATCATGCATCACCTACTTCCTGTTTTCCTTGACACCTTGCCGAAGCTTCCATCAGATTGCTGATAAATTAGGTCCTGTCTTTTCTCCTCCATATCAAGCCAGAGCAAGGGTTCTCCATCTGCTGAAGGCCACTAGCTGCATGAGAATGTGTACTCCACACAACTTAAGGTGCTGTAACTTGTCTTAACATCTCTGCCATACAAACTTTAAATAACTAGTCACTTTGATAATTGTGCTTCATCCATCCATATACAGGCAAGTGATTGCTTCATACTTTAATGCTCAATTATTTAACAAGGTCAGAATCGTGTTGTTGTCTATAGAAATGTAGTCAGAGCTCAGACATTTAATGCATGTTGAACAATGAGAGATAGGTTGCTGTGGACTTTTGCAGATTAGAATTGGTGCTTGGCCCTTCTGTACTTTGGGTAGTAAAGAATTACTGAGCATCCAGCAGTTCTCTTTGGGCGCCATCTTGTGTCCTAATTGAGAGCAGCAGCCTCTGAGCAAAAGGTGACAACAGGGAGAGTCTGTAATGTCTGTTATGTGTACATGATAACTCACCCCTCTAAAGTCTTGCTGTATGGAACCATTTTATTAGAAGGATCATATTATCTTCAAGTGACATCATTCGATTTTGCAAATCTCAGGCACTTTAGAATCTGTTAGTTGGAGGATTTTTCTTGTGTGTCGGCACGTAGGAGAGGTACGGCTATCACATGCCACCCAAGCAGCAGGGGTAGTTGTAGCCTTGTTATTCTTGTGTAGGGTGTAAGAATTATCTGTCTGTAACCCATATTCAGCAAAATAAGGTAAGGGGGAATTCAATTTCTACACGTTATACATACAAGTATGACACATCAAGGGATACATAAATCATGGGAGAGTAAGGCCTTGTTACTCCAGATAGATTGTGATGCATGTAGGTACTTTTTTCCATTTTCAGGTCTATTGTCTCTGCACTGTACTGGGGTCCTTTCTCATCATTGCACTGCGCTGGGGCCAATTCTCATGAATGCACTGCACTAGGGGCCATTCTCGGTGCACTGTGTTAGGACCCATTCTCATTGGTGCACTGCGCTAGGGCTGTATTCTCATTCATCGGCGCACTGCGCTAGGGCTGTATTCTCATTCATTGGCGCACTGCGCTAGGGCTCTATTCTCATTCATCTGCGCACTGCGCTACGGCTCTATTCTCATTCATCAGCGCACTGCGCTAGGGCTCTATTCTCGGCGCACTGCGCTAGGGCTCTATTCTCATTCATCTGCGCACTGCGCTAGGGCTCTATTCTCATTCATCGGCACACTGCGCTATGGCTCTATTCTCATTCATCGGCGCACTGCGCTAGGGCTCTATTCTCGGCGCACTGCGCTAGGGCTCTATTCTCATTCATCTGCGCACTGCGCTAGAGCTCTATTCTCATTCATCGGCGCACTGCGCTAGGGCTCTATTCTCATTCATTGGCGCACTGCGCTAGGGCTCTATTCTCATTCATCGGCGCACTGCGCTAGCGTTCTATTCTCATCGGTGCACTGCGCTAGGGCTCTATTCCCATTCATCGGTGCATTGCGCTAGGGCTCTATTCTCATTAATCGGCGCACTGCGCTAGGGCTCTATTCTCATTCATCGGCGCACTGTGCTAGGGCTCTATTCTCATTCATCGGCGCACTGCGCTAGGGCTCTATTTTCATCAACGCGTGGCGCTAGGGCTCTATTCTCATTCATCGGCGCACTGCGCTAGGGCTCTATTCTCATTCATCGGCGCACTGTGCTAGGGCTCTATTCTCATTGGTGCACTGCGCTAGGGCTCTATTTTCATCGACGCATGGCGCTAGGGCCCTATTCTCCGCGTATTGTGCTGGGATCCATGGGATGCAGCAGTAGAGATTTTACATGACCTTCATTTCTGTGTAATGTCCCATGCGATCATTTATCTATTGGCTACAGGTTCTCTTTCATGCTGATTGGTGCACTGCAATGAGGTACATTCTCATTGGTTCTCTGTTCATGTTCAATATCCTCTAACTCTTTTCTCCCCATCCTGACTGTCCCTGGCCTTTCCTTTTCATTTGACTGAATTTTGGTTCTGTCAATCATGGAGGCTTTGCATCACATGCAGGGTGGTCTGCATGCAAATGCATCCAACCTAGGAACACTTACTGCTCCAGACTGACATCCAGCTATCAGGACATATTGATATTTGAATATCTCCTCCCAAGAGCCAGTCTATTTTGCTAGCATTAGGGTTGAGGGCTCTTGACAGCAGTATTGAGGCAAGGCGCTGTGATATGGTGCAGCCATAGGCTCCTTCTGGATGCTGTGTGTCTCTATGGAAGCACAAGGCTAGGTGCGGGAATGTGCACGGGGAGACACCTGCAGACGGGGACTGGGGGGGGGGGGGTTTGGTGGGGGCTAGCGGTTTGGGCTCAACTAGAGAACAGGGAAATTAAAAAGTTGAAAGAAAAAACAAAAATGTATAAAAAGAAGGGAAGGTTTAATATCACTTGAAAAGAGATGAAGTATGCAAATGATGCAATATTCCTATACCTATCGGCAGGCCTGGGCATCTCCCCATGGGAATTCTAGATTTATAGTGCTTTGCACAGCCTGTAAGTGTTCTTTCAACATAGCCTGTGAAAATTATCATACAACATGAAACCTGGGGATACACCATCCTCTCCCCAACCTTATAGAAGCCCACATCTACCTTTTATAAATGCAGCATTATGTCCTGGGCAGAGCTATCAGGTCTACGGTGTCATGATGCGGTCTCTAGATTTGATAAATAGAAATGATTAAAGTTCCTCAGTATTTTCTGTCTTACTAATGACAAGTTTTACTTCTTGCAGTTTTTCTCAAGGTCCTTTAAAAGATGCACCTAACCTCATCTGCACACCGCATGCGGCCTGGTACAGCGAGCAGGCCTCCATAGAGATGAGAGAAGAGGCGGCGAGGGAGATCCGCAGAGCCATTACAAGTAAGGATGGCTGCCATCTTGTATTGGGTTTCTACTGCTCACTATAGTAGGCTTCGGGGGATTGCCTATTTTAGTTTTGTGACCTGAACACTTCCAGAATCAGAACGGTTAAAGCAGCCCTTGAGCTCGAGGGGGCCACACACACTGGTCGAATTATGGTCAGCAGACCTCTGAAAAAAATTAATCCAATGTATGGCTGACTTTTTTTTCTCACTGTTTGAGGGAGCTGGGGAGTTTTGTTTGCCATATTTAATCTGTGTGTTCTGTGCTGGCAGATTTCATTATTACTGATAGATGAGCACACTGTCCTAACAAAGACCTCAATGCATAGTATGTTAAACAATCTGTGAGGGCAACTGCATCAACATAGCACTGACACCCTACCGTTGTGGAAAAAAAATCTTTGAGGGCAAAAAAGATTTATTAACTTTTTTTACTTTATGATTTTTTTTTTCTTTAAATTCAATCTCGTGATTGCACAGCCTCCTTGCTTGACCCTCTTTCCTATTGCAGGGGTCATGTCTCCATTGCCTAAGGATGGAAGGCGCATGACATCAGGGGCAGGAAGTTCCCAGTCTGTCCTGCATTCCATAAGGCCAGGCAGGAGAGCAGGGCTAAGGCTAGAGAGGTGTGGCCTCAATCTTAAATAGTGCACTGCGCTTAACAGGTTAAGGCGTATGTAAAAACTCCACATGAATAAAGTGCCTTATTCAACACAATAGGGGGAATTTATCAACACTGGAACAGTCAGAATCTGGAGCAGCTGTGCATGGCAACCAATCGGCTTCTTTTTTTCATTTTCAAACCTCAACTGAACAAATTGAAGAGAGAAGCCAATTGGCTACCAAGCACCGCTGCTCCAGATTTGGTCTGCTCCAGGGTTGGTAAATTCCCCTCAATGTGATTATTCCACCTAATAAAATGCTCAAATAGTAAATATACATAAAACTGTCAATTAAAAACAGTCCACTGCATTCAGTGTTAGTAGTGACTTGTGCAAAATAGCAAATTCATATCATGGATAGTGACATGTGCAAACAAAAAGAGTCCAAATGTTAAGCACTCGGATCTGTAACAAAAAAACAAAACCTAAATCTTCCGTGCCACCTATAGTGCTCCTTTCCACCCTCCGTGAACGGCTAATGCAGGATTCGCGCACTCCAGAATTCGATGACCCCTTTGCTGGACGGCATAGTGCAGTATTGGCTTCCTGGCTTACTGAGAGGCTTCCCTTCACTTCAGTAGGCAGAATCAGAAATGGACCCAGGATGTAACTTCCTTTGCTAATACCAGTAACGATTCAGAGTATCTCAATCCATCTCCCCAGTGTACTCAAAAGGAAACAAATAGAGCCACATCGCGTAGTATGTAAAATCTGTACTTTATCACATGAATAAAACCTACTTGCATAGCCAAAAGGCATTCGCATATACAGGAAACTCAGTTCTGAGTGTCTCTCCACATTGTTCATGGACGTTATGACGTCAGCATGCGCCCGCCTGTCTACGCGTTTCATCACAGGGACTTTATGGCCTCAACAATGACTATGGGACTACAGGCACTGTCTCTTGTATCTCCCACTCAGAAGTGGCATAACTATAGCCATAGCAGCCCAGGTGGCTGCTATGGGGCCTGGGGTTGGAAGGGGGCCCTATTAGATTGTTGAGGCAAATTAAACCTAAAACATGTGAAGATAACACAGCATTGTGTCATTAAGGGATGGAATGGTTGCAGTTGATGACAAACCTAATTCTCTATAAACTCTACAGTGTAGGAAAGCTGATGTGAGATGCACAAGAGGAGTCTTTGGGATTACAGTGTCATTAGTCACAGCTCAGAGAGGTCATCAGGGGCTGCCCCCGTCACATTTTTGCTATAGGACCCCATGATCTGTAGTTACACCCCTAGAGCTTAAGGATGTAAACTGGTCATCTGGTCCTTCCAGGTTAATGAGAAACATGCGACTCCCTCCTCTTCCTACAACAGCAAAAAGTTTCCCAGCACACTCACCAGCCAGCACGCAAAAAAAACTGGTCTCACCTCTAACGTTAAAAACAGAGGTTTAGATACACTTCTTCTGCAGAAAATGTGAAAGCCGCGCCAAGGCACCTCTACATAGTGCGGTACCTCCTCTTCCTGTTGCATGACTGCACTAATGCCTGGCATATGGCAGCTCAAGCACCCAGCCCTGTCACCTGGCGCAGGATGAGTCCTCCACTTTATGTAAGCTCCAAGTCGCAATTTTCACAGGGCTTCTCCTCCCTTCCCTGGGCAAACTGAATATCGGAGCAGCAAACGCAACTTTTAGAAGCATGGGCTATATAATACCATGCATGGGCATGAAGCATGGCCATTATAGTACCTTGTCAGCACCATCTAGGGATACTAGTGATGTGTGAACGGCATCTGCCCAGCTATACGGTGGACAGAACATTTATGGACCCCTAAGATTCAATGGTTAGATTTATTTCACATCACACATTTTTGGTGCTTCAATACATGACATCACTATATGTTAATGGAGTAAGTATGTATTACAATTTATAATAAAAATTATATATAAAGCTTCTGCTTAACGTCTGAATATATTTTCCTCTTCTTAACAGGTCGTATCCCTGACAGCCTGAAAAACTGCGTCAATAAAGATAACTTAACTGCAACGACGCATTGGGCCAGTATGGAGCCGGCCGTGGTTCACCCAGAATTAAATGGCGCTACTTACAGGTAAAAGCGGACACTCTCTACAGCTGTGTATATTCAATGGTTGGATGCTGGGTAGTGGTAAAGATCTGTGTTGTGTGTAGTAGTGGACTATTAACGCACCAGACCTGCTTTATCACATACTGTATGTAAAGCCAAAGCTGAAAGCCACCCTTTCCCCAAATTTAGGATAGGGCAGAGATGGGTAGAGACTTTGGTTTTATTTGCAGTATGTGTCCCATCAAGGCGATTTCCCTTCACTTCCTGTCCCAATGTGAAAACAAGAAATAAGAGGCGGTCTCCCCAAAAAGAAGGAAATATTACATTTTTAGACAGTTGTCACCAGATCAAGTATGTTCCTGTAGGAAGATTTCTCCTTGCCTCTTGTTCCTTGTGAGACGAAGGTCAGCAGTACAGTAGAGAGAGTCAGGGCCCATTCAAGCTTGAAGGAGAATTATGAGGCAAGTGATTTTCCCTCAGCCTCATAATCTGAGCCGACCTGTGACAATGAATCTGTACTGTTGTGGTGCATTCATTATGAACTTGCCCCAATGGATTAAAAAAACATGCATTACTTTTTTTAAACGTAGCACCCCGATCGCAGTATAGGCATTGTGGTGGCTTGTGCTCTTCTGTACATTGCGTTGGGTTGCTGTTCACAATGAATGGCACCGCTCTTATAGCAGGTGTGCTGACGTGTTGTGGCAACTCGAGTTAAGGTGTGTGTCACAATACACAGTGGTGAATGGGCCTCGAATCTCCCCAGTTGGGACACGGCAATAAAACCTTGACAGGAAAACCTTCCACATTTTATCCAAAGTTTAAGAAACGTTTTGGCTTTACGTTCACTTAAAAATCTGAAATCCATAGGAGTATACTGTATATCTTGTCCATACGCAACTAGCTACAAAGATTTTGTCAGGATTTGTAGTCTATATCAGCTCTGTGATGCATTATATTCATGGTGACTTACACATTGTATATTCTGGTTGTATGTTTATCTGGGTCTGCCAAATACAGAAACAAGTGAAGAATGAACAACATAGTTTTAAAAAATCCCACTACCCTTTCACTTGTACTGGATTTAAAACGAATGGGCTGTAAAAGAGAAGGGTGGGGGTCGGGGGTCCCCATGGCTTTGTGTCTGTTTTTTATGTGATTGGGGTCTAATAGAAGCAGAAAGTCTTGGACTCTTTTATGCCACATTCTAGTGTTGGGGCGCTGAAGCTACACCTGTAATGTAGTCTCTGCCCTGGAACAAGAATTTGGGTGAGACAATAGATGATCCATGTCTGAAGGTGTCCCTCTACGCCCTGCCTCTCCTATAGAATAGATCCAACCCATTTGTATCGGATATACTGATCTCTGGTCCTCCTCATCAAAGATGTATGAGAGAAAAAGACCTCGAATCCCAGGTTGTGACTTGTGACTCCACGGTAGGTATCTGCATCAAACGTGGTAGGAAATCACATACAGAACTCAAGGAATGTCTAAAACCAATTTCCTTTGCTATTAAGCATCGGCCCCTGGACAGTCTCCTTCGCTGTACGGGGCTATAACAAAGGATAAGTTTACTTTCCTTTTTTTAAAACACAAACATTCATCTCCCCCCTGCCCTCCTTAGCTAACCTGCACAGACCCCCCCAATCCTGCCCCAGTTACTTTGCCCCATATCCCAGTGTTTTCTCATCCAGTGTTTATAGCCTCTCCCAACGCTGGCAACATTGACTTGAATGGAGCTGTAATACTGAGGATCTTCATTCTCCATACACAGCCCCATTGTGACCTTCATTCCGTACACAGAGATATTCTGAAGAGAGGCTGTAAGCATCGGAGAAGAGCACAAAGATAAGTAAGTAAGGCATGAGGTTAGTGCAGACTACGTTATAAAGGGTGGGGGAGGGGGGCACTGGGGTAACCCTGTAATTCCAACTTCTTAAATAGTACAGTAGTAGAAGAGTAGTTGTCGCCTCTTCTATAGTGCAGAGGACGTAACAATCATAATGGTGCATTGGATAATTTGAGGATCAGAGTTAAGGGGACATTAAACCTTTGGGTTTTTTCAACTGTTTCTATTTAAGGGGGCCAGACTTACAATACTTAAAAAAACATTTAAAGAATAAAAAAACATTTTATAATTTCCATGTTCTCTAGTATCCAAACCGCCAGCCACACCCCCTCGTACGAGTGCCTCCATCAGTTGGCCGGCTGTTGTGGAGGCACCCGTGTGTACACGCTCACAGCTGTGCGCGTCCATAGACGTACACAGCGTGGGGCCGGCCATGCCTCAACCCTTTCAGTCACACTTTGACTGACAGCAGAAGGAGCCTATGGCTCCTCTGCCCTCAGTTCCCTCCCCCACAACCAGGAAGTGCGGGGAAACCTGAGTATCTTTTTGGTCCTGGCGGAGGCTGCAGATAAGTGTGGGGGGGACAAGGGGTTACAAAAGTCCAGGGTGTTATTTGCCTTAATGCAGAGAATGCAATAAGGTAAAAAACACCAAACTTTAGTACTGCTTTAAGCCCACCATATACATTAAAACTTGACCATACAAGCTTTATACAATCAACTTTAGAGTTCCTAAAACTATGTAATAGGTGGATCTGTAAACTATCCGCTCAATCTGTATCCATTTCAATAGGCCTGTACTCGTACTCGCCCAAATGCTCCGATACCTTCCCCAGTACCAGAACATCCGGTCAGAGGGAGATTTCCTCTGACCGGCAGTGCTGTAGGGGAACATGGAGCCAGCTTCCCATGCGATCAGGAAGCTGGGCGGCGATTAATGACCCGCTTCCTGATTAGCCTGTGAGCTGGCTCCATGCTGATTGACTGGGAAGCCAGCTTTCTGGCCAATCGCAATCAATACTGCCAAACATGGAACAAGCTATCCCAGGCAATCAGGAAGCAGGGCACATGTCATTACCAGCCGCCCGGCTTCCTAATTGCCTGGGAAGCTGGCTCCATGCCAGCGGAAGCATCGGTATCTGTACTCGGTATCTGTACTCGGTATCTGTACTCGGTATCTGCACTCGGTATCTGCACTCGGTATCTGCACTCGGTATCTGTACTCGGTATCTGTACTCGGTATCTGTACTCGGTATCTGTACTCGGTATCTGTACTCGGTATCTGTACTCGGTATCTGTACTCGGTATCTGTACTCGGTATCTGTACTCGGTATCTGTACTCGGTATCTGTACTCGGTATCTGTACTCGGTATCTGTACTCGGTATCTGTACTCGGTATCTGTACTCGGTATCTGTACTCGGTATCTGTACTCTGTATCTGTACTCGGTATCGGCAAGTACCGAAAGCAAAATATTGGTACTCGATACTGTAAAACCGGTAACGGTGCATCCCTAACAGTGAGCTTTAAATGGGTTACCCTATTGACTTTGTATCTGTCCTATTGCAATCTAAGATCAGTTGATCTTTCTGCTTTGCAGGTGAACCTTAATTGCACAGGAACAAACCCACCCCATCCGGCCTGAATCAAACTTTCTAAAATCTTCATTTATATTCTCTACTTTTTTCTTTTGGTTTTTTTCTTTTCTCTTTTACGCTTTTTTTTTTCTCTTCTTTCTCTTTTCCTTCTATCCCACTTTCTTTTTATTTGACACATTTGACTTTTATCAGTTGTAAGCTTTGTACCTGCCCTTTACTCCTTCTGCAGTTACACTTCTTGCAATAGGACTTCTACTGCTCCGTTAGTTTCCATATCCTAATATACATATATTTATGATGGCGTTAATATTTAATAATGACAGGGACTGGAAGTGGCGTTAAGCGCTGCCTTTTATAGTCTTGTAATATTGATCGAGTGCCTGCCTGTCCCAGAGGTAAAGATTACCTGTCTCTGAGAGGAATATGAGATTAGGTGAGCGCTCCCATATTGATTTATCATCTGAATTATCATTATCATTCTGATCTGTCAACGTTCTCCATTGCAGAACCGAGTTAAAGATCACAGCATAAGAGCAGGCTTTAGTCTATGCAAAGCACGCACACATGATAATAGTGAATGGAGTGACATGCCAAGGTGGGAACATGCTAGGGCTCAGTGCAGACCAAATTCATGTTTGTATGTAATAGTCTCTACTGGAAATTAAGTGGTTGTGTCTGGGATCAATGTAACTTTTGACATGTGCCTTGGTCCCTAGTTCATAGCAACATCCATCTCCTGTCCTTTTTTTTGGTGAATGAAAGAGCTGACTGCAGGTGAAGCCTTAGAAAAGATCAAAACAGGATAAAAAATCTCCGACCAAGAGCTTTGTGTTTTTTGGGGAAGCTTTATGTAGGGATGCACCGAAATGACATTTTTTTAGACCGAAACAGAAATTTCAAAATTTGTCAGGCCGAAATGGAAACAGAAAATGACTTTTATTTTGCAGCTTTTTAAAAATTATTTTTTAATTAGATTTTTATAGTTTTATTTTTTTAACTTTAGTGTTAGGGCCTTTAGGGATCTATACAGGCCCCTGCTGTTTCCCTTTAGAAGTAGAAAAAGAGATTGAGGACACAGTCTTAAATCTCTTTTTCTGCAACCCCTGTTATGAATGAACAGAAGGTCTCTATACTGAGTGCTCCAGTCCATTCATAAGGAGATAGTATCAGTTACTAGGTCCACAATCATGAATGAACAGGAAGTGATGTGGAGCACTTCCTGTTCATTCATAACTGGGGACATAGCAAGGTTACAAACATCGGTGTGATCAGAACTAATCACACAGATGTCTGAGCAGTAGATGGAAAGGTCAGCAGATATTGAACATATTTGCTGATCCTCCCTGCTCTCCATTCTGAACCATTCCGCCCCTCCTGCAGCTCTTCTCGTCCCTGCTCACACTGTCAGCCCTGACAGCATCTCTCCTCCCTGCTGGATCGGCTCTGTGTCCCCTCTGATCCCCGCTGAATCTGCTGACACAGGTGGGGGAGAGCAGCAGGGATCGGATGGGACACAGACCTAACCTTGCAGCTGGCACCCAGCGGGGAGAAGAGAAGCTGGGGATGCACCACATTTTTTCCCATTCTTTTACTATCGGCATTTTGCCCGTAGTGCCATTTTCTGCCAAAATATTTTGGCACATCCCTAGTTTTATGTCCTGTCCTGTCTCCGTACAAATAAAGGCTCCTGTATGACAGTCTAAGCAAGCACTAAATTCAATTACTATGTGATACACAAGCCTCATAAAATAAACAACCTTTACCTTCCTTGATGGGTCAAATCCTCAATTTGTGTCTCACATGCTCTCCGTCCCAGACACTGCAGCTCACAGTAGAAGGGTTTCAGCATCAGAGGCAGTATTATCAATCCAGAAAGCAGTGAGAAGGACCAGATACTGATTGTCACTTCTCTATCACAAGCCTGTAGAGCTAGTGTGAAAAGTCATGCTGCCTGCAACATACCATTATAGTTCACAGCCTACTTGAGTAACAAGTCTGCTCTGAATTCTGGAGCAGTGCAGCATCGTTGCCGCACAATCCCGACTTCGCTGGCAGGATCATCAAGCAATGTAAGGGAGATTAAGAGAAGACTGTAAGTGCAGATGTATTTATAATTAAGAGCTGCAGCACACACTTAACGGGAGGCCATCGTTCTTCTAGGAGATTTCCCTGTAAGATTTTGTGCTCGTTTTGACAGGTTTTTGATCATTCAGATCTGCTTCTCTAACCATACAAGTCTGTCAGAGCAATGAAGCAGGTCAGAAGGAGATCATATGCGCCTGCAATAAATTATGCTTAATCTCAGGAGCCTCTCACACCAAATCCGAAAGAAAGTCTGTCGACACAATACTGTCTGTGTCTGCATAGCAGAGACTTTGCACTTCCTGTTCTCTCTGACACCCAACGCCTGGACAGGAAGTGAAGGAAAATTGATGGGAAAAAGTTTTGTCTGGCATTTAGCTTTATTCTCTACAATTATACCAGGTGTATCCAAACTTCTTCTTGTGGCATTCTGCATATAGAAGGCTATGAATATGTCCTATTCTAAACAGCTTCCAGTATGAGTCTAGAAATGCAGCAGTGTGTATTAACTGGAGTTTAGCCCAGTTCACTTGTTTTTTGGATAGCATAATCAGGCCACTGATTGACTTGACCCGTTTGGAACTGCTAACCAAAACATTCTTGGGACTATAGGTGGGTTAGATGGGAGTGACCCCATTGGGAGATTTTGCATCTAGTTCCAAAGACATGACTGTAAGTGAGTAGAAATCTCTCCTAATTTGGGGGAATCCCAACAGTTTCAATGTTTCTATTTAGGGCCGGATTTACTTTCTGCTGCCCCAAGGCCAGGTTCCTCAATGTGCCCTCCTCCCCGCCAAACCCCCCCTCCCCAATGGAGAATGGCAACCAGATGGTGGGGGTGGCAGGGTTGGTTTTAATTTTTTTTTAATCAATTTTTTTATTTTACTTTTTTAAGTTTTTATTTATCTTATCTTTTATACTTTATTGCTTTTTAATTCTTTTTATCTTTTTTTATTTGATAATTTTTTACTTTTTATCAATTTTTTTACTTATTTTTTCACAATTTTTCTGTTTCACTTAACTTTATTGCTATCACACAGAAGTTAACAAGCCCCTGTGTGATAGCATTTGGAGGTGACATGTTCTCTTTATTGAACCTGTCACCTCCAATACAGGAGTTCTAGCACAGCACTGTGCTGGAACTCTTGTGACAGCTGAGAGGTAAAGGCTGCGAGTGCAGCACTGCTGTCTCAGTCTTTAGGAGAACGGACGTTGTGCGCTCTGCTCCCGGCTTTCCATCCTGAACTACATTGCTGTGGTCCTGGCTCCCCCAGAAGAGTGGGGGACCCCTACAAAGCATGATGGGGAGGGAGTCAGCCAGCGAGGAGAGGCAGCTGGAGGTGGGGGCAGGAAGGACAAGCAGGCTAATTACAAGTCATCGCTGAGATCACTTGTACAAAACGAGCTGCAGCTTCCCCACTCTTCATTTAGCTCTGCTTGCCTGAAGCAGGGCTAAATGTAGAAAAAAAACGACACCTACACCCTTGCCGCCCCTCTACTCCCTGCCACCCTGAGGAAATCCGGCCCTGTTTCCATTTGAATTAGATGTTTCTAGCCAAGGTATTCCTGTGCAAACAACCAACTTATTTCCGCTCCCTTCTTGTCCTAAAGCGCCTGGTAAAGTATATCAGAACTTTGTTTTGGGTGTTTTTGCTTAGTTTTGCTGTCTGATAGGTTTCTATTGCTGTCTGTTTGTCCTGGTGACTGAAAATGGTGGCAAATCCATAATTGAAATGATTTACTAAAGAGAACTTTTCACAGTGGGAAAGGAGCAGTGATAAAAGACTGGTTTGAACATGCACTACACCGCATGCATCACTAAAACACATTGCCGTGCTTTCTCTTTTTTCCCCCTTCACTTCTAATGTTATTCCTATGCACCTGCATTGTGTTATGTTGGGTCAGAACACGTTGTGCACAAATGCAACATATCCTGGGTTTTTTTCAGCACATTGATGTGAGCTGAAGTGATAAAACATGAGGCAAATTGCCTTGTTATGTTGGGAATGTGTTGGTCACTAATGCTGCTGGTGTGATGAAATGAAAAAGAACAATATTTGGCTTTTCGATATGAATCAGATCTCCCCATTGGGTACTGAACATTCCCAACTCTACCCAACACTGTTTGGCTTGTATTCTACTTTAAGGATGCATCAATAAAATGCAGTTATAGTCTATTTGTTGTGGGGACGGGTTAGGTTCAATACAGTACTGAGAAGGAAACTTTTATTAACCCTTGCAGTGTGGCTACCCCCCGCACTGCAAGGGTTAGCTGCTCATTGTGGTCTAGGGAGGAAAATAAAGTTTTATATGCATGCTCTTAGACTGGTCCTTCCAGCTTTGCTCCCCCTCTGCGTCAGCGATCTAAGGATCCTCGCGTCATCACGTTCTATACACATTGTATAAGACATGAGGACGCAGAGGGACATACCATTGCTGCAATGTAGGAGATATGCAGGAGGGAGCGCTGTCACAGCCGGCCGGCTCAGTGTAGTTCTTTAAACTGTCAGTACTCATTGTGCAATTATTATTTATTGCCTTATTTTGGGTACACACATTTTTTAGGCCCATATATTTCTAATTCTCATCTTGTGAGCAGCATTTGCCATGTACCATTCTGTAAATTGACCTGGGGTTTCTTCTTACAGGTACCCTCCAGGTGTCGTCAGCGTGGCCCCTGCTGGCATCCCAACTGCAGTTGATGCAATCGTCCCCAACGCCATGCCTTTATCCCACGGTCATCCTGCCGTGGTTCACCCACCCCATACCCCTTCTCCTGGCCAAACCGTCAAACCAGAAGCTGACAGAGACCATCCGAGCGACCAGTTGTAGCCAAAAACCTAAAAAAAAAAAAAAAGTGAGAAAGACGACCATTCCTTGCATTGGAGATCTGTAGATCGACGGAGACTGAAGAAGCCTAGAACATGAAGATCAATGTCATCTGGATTACAGATAGAGGCAAAAATAATGAACTTGAAGATCGTAATTGTTTTTAGAAATTGGTCCAAATATACAGTATAAAAAACGAGAGGCAAAGAGAGCATTTGGAAACTTTTTTTTTTATTTTTTTTTCCCCCCTTCATATTAAAAAAAAAAAAAAAAAGATGTAGTTTGTCCCTGTTCAGTGGACTGACCTCACTGTTCTGTGTCCTGTTTGGGTCCTTTGTTAAGCAAGAGAAGTTAGTAGTTAATTATCTCATGAATGTACTTGTCTGTGTACAGTTTTTAGAACATAAAAAGGGTTTGTTTGCATAACTATCGATAGGGGGGAAAAAAACCATAAGGGAGGCATTCAGCAAACCACTTTTGAAATGGAGGAAAAAAAAAGCTAAAAAAAATAAATATAATTTTGTTTTTATATGTTGTAACATGCCCAGTAAACAAGGCAGTTGGCAACCTTCTCAGGAGAATACATTTTCCCATTTTATTTTCTTTAACACCACACAGTGCATTGTTATTTTTTACCTGCTTGTCTTATGTATATTTTTTTTTCTTTTGCCAAAAGAGCTTTTTTTTTTTTTTCCAAATTTATTTT